AAGCATAGTTCTGTCTTCCTGCTCCATAACCCTTGACTGAGACTAGCAGTAGCTGCTTTGAAGAGCCATGCCTCAGGGATGGAACACACTAGGAACTCATGGAACAATATGGGTGAATAATCTTCACCCCCTGCTTTGGGGACCCGAGCTGCACCTTCATTGTTTCTCTACCATATTTGAGGGTTTAGGGGTCCTCTGCTCTGGAAGGCTTCTGCAACTGGAAAAAGCCCTGAGCTGGCAGTAATACACGTCACTTGTGTTCTCTTCCCAGTGGGGGAAGCCAGCCACATGGCCACATGAAGGAGGCTGACAAGTGTGGTGATTTTGTACTGTAGAAGAGGAAGCTTTGCTAGCAGCTGGCTTTCTGCCATAGCCACAGACAAATCAGCACACCTTGAGCCTCTGTTATTATCTGTAGAACAGAAAACATCACTCGATAGCGGCAGTGGCTGCCCAGTTCTGTACATTTGCTCAAGTCACTAACGTGTTCACAGGTGTATAAGTCACACTACAGGTAAGCTGCTTTTACAACACAGGCAGCTCTTTGCCCTCCCCTCAGGGTTTTGTGAGGATTCAGCAAGGAGAAATTTGCCAAGCTGATGCATTGCATGTGTGCTCGTGTTTGCATGCGCGCGCGCGCGCGTGTGTGTGTGTGTGTGTGTGTGTATGTCTCTGTGTGTACATACATTTATGGTTTGTGTGTGCTTGTCTCTGCTTATGGTAAGGAATAAGAGTTCCAAAGCACTGTGAGCTAGGTGCTGTACTGGGTGTAGCATCACAGGGTGGCGCCCAACCCAGGCTGCCTGCCAACAGGAAGTGGTAGGCGGTTCAGTCTTGATTCTCGCTTGGGAAACCCTCCCCCATTATGGTAGCCTTCCAGCATGTGGTGGAGCCAGGACTGCCATGCTTGCACACTAGGCTGTCCATCTCCATCTCCTGGAGTATACACAAGTCAGGTGGTCAAGACAGCAGCCCACCTAATGGGTGGGGAAAACTCCAGATCAGCTGCATAGATGGATGTCAGGGCCAGTAGGGGACACACCCTGGTAGTGCACCACCCAAAGGGTCTCTTGGGGCAGTAGTCATCACCCAGAGTGGATGCCCTGCTGAGCAACAGCAAAGAGGAAGCAGAGGTCAGCAGTGACCCTTTTCCTGGTGCTGGGAGTTCACAGGTATAGTCTATAGCTGAGTCCATTCTAGAGGATGTGTGTGAAGTCAGTTCCTGGAGGACAGTGTTCCCCTAATGTCAGATTTGCCTATCTTTCCCACCACTCAGGAACTAGGCATGTCGTGCTTCACTCAGTCTCATGCTGTCATATACCAGGAGCCATGTGACTTCACTGTGAGGAACAAATGGGTGGCACCACACAGCCAACAGGAACTGTGACATGGGTGTGCTTGGCTAAGGCTCCACCCAGCTACTGCAGGATCTGGGTGTATTGTTCCCAACACTTATCTTGGGAAAGAACTGATTTAAAGGATGGAATTTGGATCCAGTTCCAATGCTAGCTGTGTGACTGTGGGCAAGCTGCTTAGTTGTGCTTCGTTTCATCATATAATAACAGTACTACACTGTAGAGTTAAGAAGATTAGTGGAGCCCTTGTGATGGGTTGGCTGCAGTAGGTACAATTTGGCTAATCTTTTTTGTTTGAGGTTTTTGGGTTTTTTTGTTGTTGTTGTTTGTTTTTTGTTGTTTGTTGTTGTTTGCTTGATTGGTTGGTTTGGGGGTCTTTTTGTGTTTGTTTTGTGTGTGTTTCTCTCTGTAGCTCTGGCTGGCCTCTGTCTCTCTAGTGCTGGGATTAAAGGCACACCACCACTGTCCGATACTTTTGTTACCTTTAATGTATGTATAAACTGAGGCCCAAGCCTGGCTATAGATCACCCAGCTGAAATGGCTCACAGTAGGGTGGCCCATGCCATCTCTATAGCTCCCCACTGTGCATCCATTGTCATGTTTGGTAAGTGGGTCAGAGGCAGCATGTACTTGAGGGATTGAGATAGCAGCAGGGACAGACATGTGAATTCGGTCATTGCCTCTTGCTGACACCTTGTGGAGAACATGACAGCAGGAAGAGATGGCTGGGTATTCCCAAAACTTACCTCGTAAATTTAGGGAGCGATGCAGAGAGGATGGAGTGGGCCTGGCCTCTGTCTTGTTGACAGGTGGGTACAGCTAAGATATCCTCCCCAACATGCTCAGCGGGGGACACACAGATTTAAGCTCTTGCAGTGCCCGTGTGCTGAGGCAGCAGAGGTTCATAGAGGGGAGGGACCTGAGGACAGTGGCACTTAGGAGGTCAGGCACAGGGGTAGGAAGTGGAAAGTAGAGGTTGCTTCAAGAACACTGGCCTGACTAGCAGCCTCTAAAGTTTGCAGAGGCAGTTTTGAGGCCCAGGGGGCTATGTATGGAAGGAATAAAGCCCCTTGCAGCTGCCAATCAAAGTCCCAGAGGACACAGAAACAGTGTGAGATGACTGAGCAGGCTGATGCTCTTAACTGGGAGCATAGCATCATGAGAGTACAAATACCTGCACACTAGGCTATCCATCTCCATTTCCAGGAGTGTACACGTATCAGATGACCAGCACAGCAGCACAGCTGTGAGTGGAGAAGGCTCCAGATGAAGATGTCTGTGTACTTATCAGGAACCCTCAGGAAAAACACTGTCCTTGAAAGGTTTGGGACAATTGCCCGAGGACACCCTCAGACTTGGCGTTTCTTCCCTTTTGAGATGAAGCCAGCCATGGATACTAACTTATTCTCCTCATTAAATAGTTGGTGGACATTTTGACAGAGCTTATGGTCCCAGAACCCCTGAAGCTGAGAAAAACTCCCTTCCTCCCTCCAGCTCACCAGTATAGCCCAGTCATGGCTGTGACAGAATCCTAGCCTGGGACTGGGACTCTGGACACTGGTGACAGGAACCCAGCCGGGTAGTGAGGAAGGGGAAGCAGGATTTGTTCCTCCACCATTGTCTGGGGGGATTTGTGAAAGCATCGCCATGCCACAGACTAATTCCCAGGGTGATACTGTGGCATCTCAGCTAGAGTCAAAATAAAACTCAGAAAAAGGTTGAAGCTGGGGCGGGATGGTTCTGTGAGAACAGAGTCTGTGAACAGAGCTGGTTCATGAATGGACGGCAGGAGCCTGGGGAAGTAGAAGTGGGAACCGGTGCAGGGAGGGGGCTCTGTCATCCCAGCTATTGCTGAGGATGGCACAGATGGAGCTCCGCCTATGTGTGGTGGGAGGCCAGGAAGTTCCCCCCTGATGTTCCTCCTCCCTGTGTGAAGTGGGAGGCTGGGTCGTGCTGACTAAAAGGAAGGGAAGGCAAGGGAAAGGGCCTGACCTGGAAGGGAGTGGCTGGCCAGGGCTTATAGGGTGCTCCCAGCTTGGAATTGTAGTCCTTGTCCAAAAGTGAGTGCACAAATGAGCATGGGCTCCTGGCCCTGGTAGCCCTGAAGCCAAGGAGAAACTACACCATCCTTACCTATCACTGAGTGCAGCCTGGGATGGCTGTGGCAGAGCCTGTTTGGGGCTGTGAAGGAGACTTTGCATGGCACACACCTACAGAGCACTTACCGGGCCCCAGGTGCTCCATGCCTATTTAAACCTCACAGTGGCTCATGGGAAGTGGGTTCCGTTTTAAAATCTCTTTATAGATGAGGAAATAGGCACAGATGTAACAACCTGCTCAGGGATGTCCAACTAGTACGTGACATGTGGTCATCAAACCCAGCCCAAGTGGCTTGGAAGTCATGCATCATGTTAGATGGAACTCTTTGCTGTGTTCTTCAGGGAGCAGAATAGCTGTGATGTGTGCAGGGGTCTGTGGTGCATGAGAGGCCACTTATGGGAGGCCTGAATGCTGACCTCCAGCTGAAACACTCATGTGCATGTGTACACCTGCCCTGTGCACCTGGGAGAGGCCCTGCCCATAGCATGCATACACACACACCACAGCTAAGAAGGGAAGGTTCTGGATGGCTGCCTGGATGATAAGGATGGAGATAGAGCAGGCTTAGAGGAACAAAAGGAAACTGATGGAGTGACAGATATGCTCATTATGTTGATTGCAGTGATGGCTTCATGAATATTCATGTGTTAAAACTCATCAAATTGTGTTTTAAATATGTAGTTTATCCTATACCAAGCAAACCCCAGTAAAACCACAGAAAAATGAAGCAAAGCATAATAAGGTGGGAAACAAATGAGGGCCCCAAACTGGGTAATGGTTTCACTATCACGGAGTCAGTCTTCAGCCTTGGATTTCACCCCATGTGCTGTGGACATGGGGGGGTCTCAGGCTGAGACCGTGGAGCCCTAGGCATTGTATGCATCAGAGGGGGTTGTTGTCTTGTGTGGCCACACTGGCACTCTCCTGCCTGTGTGGGGTAAAATAGTGTGGCTGAGGCATTTGATATGGCAGAGACTGCCTTTAACTGACCCCACTCCATGCTCCTGAGCCTACCCTGCATTTGGCTGTAAAATGCCATTTGTGTGTTCACTGTGTTTACTACCCATGTTTCTGAACCCTCACGGGAAAAGATTCTCATGCAGCCATACAGTGCTGGGGTCCCAAAGATTCTGATGGACACCTGGCAAACAGATGTCCCATCATCACTCGTGAATGAGGTTAGGTCTGTCAATGACAGATCGCAGGCTTAGCATGTGCAAAGCTCTAGATTTGACCCCCCCCCAGCACCGCCCACAACAGAAACTCAAAACTTGTGAATGGGAGCATATGTGTGGCTGCTGCTGTGTGACATAAACCTGTGTGCTTGCTGGGCACTGTGTGGGTTAGAGCGTGAGACATGTGGGTCTGTGATACACAGTGTTAATGAGGGACAGTGACTATCTCCAGAAACTTCAGGATGGTGACAGGATTAACAATGCCTAGCATTGCTTGTGGCCCAGCTGAGAATTTTCTAGCTGCTGGGGAATCAGGAGGTAGATGGAGCAGGGGCTTGCTTGTCACTCATCATGTCATACTCCACAACAGGGAGAAGATGAGCGTGGGCTGCCCTGAGCCTGAACCGCTCCACTCCCTGCCTTGCTGTGGGCCGGGGGCCGCCCCTGTACCAGGTGCAGGTGTGCCCCTCCTCACAGAGGACATGCAAGCGCTGACACTACGCACCCTGGCTGCCAGTGACGTTACCAAGCACTATGAGCTTGTCCGGGAGCTGGGTAAAGGGACCTACGGGAAGGTTGACCTGGTGGCTTACAAGGGCACAGGTGAGTATTGTTAGGGTGGCAGGGTATTAAGGTTGGGGTAGGGACATGCCTGGACAGAGGGCCAGCAAGGGTACAGAGCAGATAGTCATATGGAAAGGATACACTGCACAGTAGGAGTTAGCAAAGTGCCCAAGCTGAGGGATAGGCCACCTGGGCACCTTTGAGACAGATGTGCCAAGGGACAGGACATTACTGGAAATTGTGACTGGAAAACATTGGTGACACCTGATGCTAGGGAGCTAGACAAGTTCTTGGGTACGGTACACTGTATTTAGAGGGTGTGGGGAGGTGGCTCTATGGGGTAGGTCTGGATTTGTTTCTTTGATAAAGACACAGACCTTGATGCTCAGACAGTCAGCCAAGGTCATAGAGCTACTGTGGGTTTGAACTAGGATGACACTCTATACTTGCCAGGGCATGAGGAGCCTCTGGGACAACTAAGGCAGCAGGAAGAACACTTGCATGAGGGCATCTTACTGCTTTCTGTGTGACCCTGGGCAATGTAACCCATCTCCTCTATTTAGCAAAGAAGAGAATGAGTGTGGACCTTATTGGGTTAGGGTTAGTGTATGAAGAATGTGAGGGACCTGTGGTGTGTAGTATTCTCTTGCTACCACACAGCTGCGTGCCCAGCAGGGTACACATCCCTGCCCAGTTTTGGGAACCAGTGCTTCTCTTACTCCCCCGTTGGCTAGCATTTGCTGAGCACCTGTTGTGTAATGAATTCTGGAGACAACGATACAAGGCAGATTCCTGAGCCTTGGAGCCATGCTTTTAGCTAGGGAGACAAATATAACATGAGAAGAGTAGGTGAGGAAAGTAGCTTGGGGCAAGAGGCAGCAAGTGTTCCTGCCTCTTCCCACCCCCACCCCACCAAGGGCTGCAATGTAGAAGACCTAGGTCAGCCCTGTTCTGCTAGGTTGACTTAGATATCCCTCTACTGTGCCATGAGAAGAACATCATGCTGACCGGCTCCACTAGCCTTATTGCAAGTGCAGATTGTACAGCCAGATGTGTGAAGGACGTATCTGTGAGGGAGAAGGTCTCATTGTTGTTGCTGTGGCCCTGTCAGGCACCAAAATGGCCCTGAAATTTGTGAATAAGAGCAAGACAAAGCTGAAAAACTTCCTGCGTGAAGTGAGCATCACCAACAGCCTGTCATCCAGCCCCTTCATCATCAAGGTCTTTGATGTGGTCTTCGAGACGGAGGAATGCTATGTCTTTGCCCAGGAGTATGCACCTGCTGGGGACCTGTTTGACATCATCCCTCCCCAGGTACTTCACATAGTGGCAAGAGAGGGGAGATGAAATCCTGGAAGGAGTACCAAGGGTGTGGTAGTGTATGCCTGTAATCCCAACAATTGGGAAGGTGAGGCAGAGGTGGAAAGATCATGGGTTTTTACACCAGCTTGGGCTGATTAGTGAGACCCTACCCCCAAAATTGGGAGGGTAGTTTAGTGGTCTGGCATACATACAAACCTGCTGACTCCTCCACATTGCAAATAATATGCAAATGAACAAGGACTGAGGCCCCCAGAGGAGGTAAAAGTGGAAGGGGTTCTGGTACTGAGTTTGGATCTTTCCACTTGTTAAGGGCTGGGGTCTAAAGACCCAGCAAAGGAACAGTTATCCGACCAGGTGGGAGGACGAGGAGGTACCAGGATCAAGGCAGGCCCAGAGGACAGGAGAGTTGTGGCTCCCAAGTGAGCAGGTGGCAGGGCCTGAAAGAAGGAACTGGGCCAAGGGCAGGTGGGTCTGGCGGGCCTGGCTACCCGGGCCACACCTGAGCAGCTCTCCCTGCTCCCCGCAGGTGGGGCTCCCCGAGGACACAGTAAAGCGCTGTGTACAGCAGCTGGGCCTGGCACTGGACTTCATGCACAGCAGGCAGCTGGTACACCGCGACATCAAACCCGAGAACGTGCTGCTGTTTGACCGTGAGTGCCGCCGTGTGAAGCTAGCTGACTTCGGCATGACGCGGCGCGTGGGCTGCCGTGTAAAGCGTGTGAGCGGCACCATACCCTACACAGCACCCGAGGTGTGCCAGGCGGGCCGTGCCGATGGCTTCGCGGTGGACACAGGCGTGGATGTGTGGGCGTTCGGTGTGCTTATATTCTGCGTGCTCACTGGCAACTTCCCGTGGGAGGCTGCGTCGGGTGCCGATGCCTTCTTCGAGGAGTTCGTTCGCTGGCAGCGGGGCCGCCTGCCCGGGCTGCCATCACAGTGGCGCCGCTTCACCGAGCCTGCACTACGCATGTTCCAGCGGCTGCTGGCTCTCGAGCCGGAGCGGCGCGGGCCCGCCAAGGAGGTCTTCCGCTTCCTCAAGCACGAGCTCACGTCTGAGCTTCGGAGGCGGCCCTCACACCGTGCACGCAAGCCACCCGGGGACCGCCTACCGGGGCCCCTGCGCCTCGAGGCTCCTGCACCGCTCAAGCGCACTGTGCTCACCGAGAGTGGCAGCGGCCCTCGGTCCTCGCCACCCAGCGTGGTGCCTGTGCCCGTGCCCGTGCCCGTACCCGTACCCGAGGCTGGTCTGGCTCCGCCTGCGCCCCCAGGCAGGACCGATGGCCGTGCAGACAAGAGCAAAGGGCAGGTGGTGCTGGCCACGGCCATCGAGATCTGCGTCTGAGCTGCTAGGAGCAGCACAGCCGCTGCGCTGCGGGGAAGCTGCGGGTGCTCCGACCCATACTGGGGAAAAGGAGTAGCCACTGCGCGGCGCAGCGGGAGGGAGTAGCGTAGACTAGGAGGCCCAGACACCCGGGTCGGTGGTGGGCTGGTGACATAGCTAGCAGATGACTGTGTTTGGCCGGTCTCAGCCCAGAGGAGCTGAGGCCTCTGACAAAGGCTGGGGAGCTTGTGGGCCAGACTGAGCTCTGGAACCTGGACACTCCTGGCGCTTCACACCCCTTGGCAGATCACCTTATACTCTTCCATCCAAACCTGGGCACAGAACGGGGGCTTTGGTGTTGGGCAGAGATAGGCGTGAGACCCTTAGAAACTGGCTGGGAACAGGCACTGAGTTGACAACTGTGGCCCAGGTGGTCAGAGGGAGAGGCCAAGCCCCCTAAATGTAGCAAATGTGTGCAGGAACAGACCCGATTATCTAGTGAAACCCCCTCACCTCCTCCTGCTGATGGGGACTTTGAACCCAGAAGGGAGAGCCACTACTGTAGCCACGAGGCCATTGGGAACAGAGTTCCAGTAGGTGCCCCTCCTGGGGGCAGAGGAACAGATGGTGGGAGAACACGAGGTTTGGCACTCCTGTGTCCCTAGGGCAGGAGAGTGCGTTCACAGCCCAGCTGCTCCTTCCCTGGGCACTCAACAAGCAGGGAAACGACTGTGCTAGTTATTAGTGTTTCTGTCAGAGTCACATGTATAAGCCTCAGTTCTAGGCCAGTACCCTTGAAGGGGAGGAACACATCCGTGGATGGGACAGGAAGTCATTGAAATGGGAGTGAGTGTGATGTGTATCTGGTGACTTGAGTGTCCAGATACCTCACCAGGCAGATACCAAGAGCCAGGCCTGAGTTTTACCACACTCCTCAGGGAATCCCAGGAGACACGTGCTGTTGGCTCAGGGAGCACAACAGGAATTCACCTTGCCCCGGCTCTCCTCTGGGACCCCTACTCAACGTGGAGGCTTAGGGAAACCCCTGCAATAACCTCAACACAGGGAGGCTGTGCCTTCTGCCCGGCACTGCCCACTTACCATCCTGGGTTGCCTCTCCTAGGGTCCCTTCAAAAGTTCTGGGTTGTTTAGGAGGTTCCATCTTGGGGCTGGCTGGCTAGCTACAAGGAATACCAACCACCCCTCAGCCTGGAGCCCCACCTCTCCACATACCCCCTCACTCCCACCACAAAGGGCTATAGGTCTCCCTGCCCTGCCTGAGTCCAGTTTACAAACTGTGGTTGCTCCAGGGCCTGGCCCCGCTTTCCTGGGGTGCCACCACTTCCCTAGTGGACACAGGGCCCACATATGCCAGGTAAGTAGCAAACTCCTCCTCCTGCCAAGAGCAGAAGGCCCGCATCACTGCCCTGGCCCACCTGGGGCCATCAGGCCCTTCTTCCCAGCCGCCACCTCTCCTCTTGCCTTAGGCCTCTCCACCCTGATCTGCAATAACAAGGAAGCGAGACTCCACAGTAGACATCCCGCATCCCGCGTGCGCCCTCTGTTGAGATCCTGTGTGGGAGGCTTCTCCCTTGTAGTATCTAGGATGGTAGTCCTCAGAAGAGACTTTAGGTACCTAGCCCAGCCCCACTGTTCAGAGGTGGCAGCCAGCCTGGCCCTGAACCAGACTCAGACTGGGTCAGGCTCCGCCCTTGCAGCCACCACTGGTACTGTCTCTGTCGGTTGGGTTGGGACCCTTTGCCCTTTAGGAGAGGTGTTGGTTACAGATGTTTACCTCAGTTTGTCACTGTTGAAGAAACAAAATAATAATAATAATAATAGCAAAAAATTAATAACATCGTAGACATGGAGACTTAGAAGACAAAAACCACAAAAGAAACCTCCCCCTTTGCATTTTTTCTGTGAAGGTATAGTTTGTTCATGTACGTACACTCATGTGCGTGTCTCTATCTCGCCCCAGGGCAGGCCAAATCATCTATTGACACCTGTCCCAGCCTGTGTGTCCGTCACACTGCCCCTGTCCTTTGGTGCTTCCCAGGGGCCCCTTTGAGCTGGCTTGTGGGGTGTAGGGGAGCTCCCTGGATAGGAAGTGGGGCCTTCAGTTAGCTAGAGGTCTCTGATCAGATCCTGTGAGCAGAGAGCCCTAGAGCTGTGTGATGCTGCTGAGCCCACAGCACAGTGCTGGTGGTTGGCATCTGTCCAAGTCTGGGGCAGGGCCTGGGTTGAACCCAAACCCTCAAGCCTCACACTCCTGTCTTGCCTCCCCAACCCCATGTGTTTGTAAATACTCTGGCATCCTTTGGACCTGAGGAGGTTTTTAAATGTGTTATTTACTTCTCTAACTATGACAATTGCTATAAAATAAAAGTTTAGAAAAATGATTGTTTTGGCTGCAGGGTGGGAGGGGTACATAGGCCTTTCCACCACAGCATGGTGGCATACCCTGGGGTAGTGTCTGCAGGGTCCAGGCCAGGACTGGAGTGGGAGGAGCAGAGAATTGTCCTGGCTTAGAGTTCAGCTTCAGCTTAGACCCATTCAGCCTGGGCCAAAACAGAAACTTCATGGCCACCGCTCCTGGAAACATTTAGCAAGTGCATATGGTGTACAGATTAGCGGTACAAAAGTGAGTTGAACAGACAGGGCACAGCATTGGCTACTGACGGAAGCATGCTACTCACAGAAGGCCAGGGCTTGGGAGGGTACATAACTGAGGTCACCAGGTTTGGAGATGCCAGGGAAAGTTCTGGAAAGACAGGCTAGAGAATTCTAAGTTAACTGGGCCTGAGCAAGGGCACAGTGGGGCAATAGGAGCCAAGTAAAAGTTAAAACAATGGGGGGCTATAGGGAAGTATATGATTAATCAAAGAAATATTAATTGCCTACCATATCAGCAGACAGTCTTCTCTGCTTTCAGACCCACTCCTATCAAGATTTGACCACCTAACACACCTCCCATGCCCACCTTGGATGCAGCAGCCCCCCCTTTCAACAGTTTGCTTGCTGGCCTCCCGGCAACTCTGGAGTCCCCTCAAGTTCTGGTAGCTCGAGCCATTCTCTCCCACTAAAAGACTTATCACTTTGTTAAGAAATCCTAAGTAGCTCCCCATGATACCCCAAGTCAAAGCTGAGGTCCTTGGAGTGGTTCTACAAGCTCTACCTGGTTTGGTGGTTGCTGTCCAGCCTCATTCCACTACTGGTGCCACTTGCTGCCAGTGTCCTCTTCCTCTTCCATGGACACCCAGCATGCTCGACCCCTAGGGCTTTTAACTTCCCCCCCACCCCCCCCACCCCGATCGCTCAGACCTTCCCAGGAATCCTGCCTCCCCTCCTTTTTTCGAACCCTTGCTCAGATCCAAAGGAAAGTCTCCATAAGGGCAGATACAGGAGAGAGCAAGCCACTACTTCCCACTGTCTCTTCTGTGCCTGGCAGGGTACATTAAAGAAACTACGTCAAACTACTTCACAATTTGCGAAATTCATGAATGAACATCCAATACTATCTTAGGGGCTGAGGATCTACAAGTAAGCAAGACAACCCCTAGCTCATGCTTTGAAATTCAGCTTCTAAGACAAAATATGTAACAGGTTATATAATTATTCATGACATGGGATTGGGGAGAGAGAAAGAGAAAGAAAATTCCAGTCTGAGCAGATCAGAGGTGAGAACTCTTGCCCAAGATTAAATAAAAGTTATTTGAGTGTGCCCATCACTTTTCTGAAATGATGAAGGGTGGAGGGAAAATCTACAAGTGCAAACAGCATGCTGACCCAGCTTGGTGTTTACAGCCTCCCAGGTTACCAGAGGAGAATGTTAATATTTATCACCAGGGGGCGTGAACCTCCTACTGCTGTGAAATCTAACGCTTTCCTGCAGCCTCTGGAGAAAAAACCATTGTCTGCCCTGTTGCGCCAATGTTTTAATCACAAAGAATCCAGCCTCACTATGTGTGACAAGAGGATCCCTGTCCCTACAGCCTCTGAGATGTTTAAATTTGGGGTCTTGGTGTCCTTTACTGTCCAGATTCTTCATTCTAGACTAATTCAATATCAAAAGGTCTAATTGGGCCAGTGAGATGGCTCACATGGTAGGAGTGTGTTACCACCATGAGTTGGTTCCCTGGAACACACATGATAGCAGGAGAGAACTGAGTCCTGTGTCCTGTTATCTGTCTATTTATCTATCTACCTACCTACCTATCTATTTTGATTATTCAAGACAGGGTTTCTATGTCTTGAACTCACTCTATAGAGCAGGCTGGCCTTGAACTCATCTGCCTCTGCCTCCCGAGTGCTGGCCTTAAAAGTGTATGCTACCACACCAGTGTCAGTTGTTTCTTGACCTTCATATCCCCCCTGCAATCCACATGTGTCCCTACTCCAATAGTAGATAAATATAGTTTTTTAAAGTTCCAGTTGACACTGAACTTCAGAAGTAAGTTCCTTTTCTGCACAAAAATGTTTCTTGAGTCCTATGTAAATTTCCCAATTTGCCAGTCCCTGATTAAGTGTGTCAACACAAAGGATATTGGAAGGAGCAACTTCAAAAGCAAGCTTGAAGGTCCTGTATGCCATCTAGTGGTGATTCCTGGCATTCTGACACAGGAAGAAACCAAACAGGATGACAAACGGGATCCTAGTGGTTCTCATCCTTCCGAATGCTTCCACCCTTCAGTACAGTTCCTCATGTTGTGGTGACCCCCCCCCAGCCATACAATTATTTTTATTGCTACTTCATAACTGCAATTTTGCTATTGTTATTAATATTAATGTAAATATCCATGTTTTTCAATGGCCTTAAGTGACCCTGGTGAAAAGGTCATTCAAGCCCCCAAAGGGATTGTGACCCACAGGTTGAGAACCACTGTCCTATCCTAAAGCCAGAAAGAATGAAATAGCATCAGAAATCACACAAGCCTGGAGAGATGGTGGTGGTCAAGAGTGCTTCTTGTTCTTCCAGAGGTTCTGAGCGTGGTTCCCAGCACACAAGCCAGGTACCCCACAACAGCTAGTAACACCAGCTGCAGGAGATCTGATGCCTTCTTCTGGCCTCCTTCAGTATCAGTGTATGCCTGTGTGTGTGTGTGTGTGTGTGTGTGTGTGTGTGTGTGTGTGTGTGTGTGTGTGTGCCTGCGCTTGCACACACACACACAAATAAAAACATGTCTCTTTTAAAAGGTGTGGAGAAGCAGAAGGGCAACAAAGTGGAAGGAAGCTGGCACCATACTAGCAAGCTGTGTGCACTCTCTTGCAGGGTGGGGGGGAAGAGAAATCTCACCAGGAAGGTAAAGCAGGTCAACAGTGGAGCCCGGGAGGTGGAGTTCAACGATGCCATCTCACCACAGAGAAGCTGGACCCTTGACTATAGGACAGAGAAGAATTTCAGGAGAGTCCGTGATTTGAGATTGCCAGTTTAAGGAGAGATGAGGGTTGGTTCATACTTGGGATGGAAGTCCTAGAGAGAGAGCTGCCCTTAGGCATATGATTCCTTCCCTCCTTTCTTCCTTCCCTCCTTCCTTCCTTCTTTATTTATTTATCCCTCATCCTCATCCTCCTCCAAAACAAGATTGTTACTGGCTAACCTTAGCTGGTCAGAGACTCACTGTGAAGAAGACACTGATCTCAAAGTTTCAGGAGATTCTCTGCCTCCATAATGCCCTGTGATTCAGGACCGAACCAACACGCCTGGATTGATGCTGTGTAAATTTCATTGTCCGAAGCATGTGATTTACAACACACTATACAGATTAAGCAAGATCTTTATTTTTTAATTTTAAAACTTTAAAAATTAAGTGTGGCTGAAGAGGGCACTAGCTGCTCTTCCAAAGGACCCAGGTTCAGTTCCAAGAATGTACATGGTAACTCACAACCACCCAACTCCAGGGGCTCCAACTTGCTGTTCTGGCCTCTGAGAGCACCAGGAAAGCATATGGTACACATACATACATACATACATACATACGTACGTACATATGTACATACACACATACATATGTACATACCTCCTAGGGTACCAGGCAAGCATATGGTGCACATACATACAGCAAGCAAAATACTCATACACAATAAAAAAATCTTTTTAAAATTAAGTGTAAAAATATTTTTTTCTTAAAGAATTTCCCATTGCAGAGCTAGAGAGATGGCTCAGCAGGTAAGAGCACTGGCTGCTTTTCCAGATGAAAGGGGTTTAATTCCCAGCACTCACATGGCAGAGGATCTGACACTTTTATACCAATGTACATAAAGTAAATTTAAATAAATTACTTAAAAATAAATAAAAGTTACTTTGTTTGCAAATGAAGTTGTAAGATGACTTATAAGGTAAATTGTTTGCTTTTTGAGATGGGGTCTTTCTACATAGCCCTGGCTGTCTTGGAACTCACTAAGTAGAATAGGCTGACCTCTAACTCACAGAGATCCAGCTGTGCCTTCCAGATGCTAGGAGAGTGCTAGGATTAAAGGCGTGCACCACCACAGCCTCCTCTTCCTCTTTATAACTTCCTTCTCCACTCTTTTTTTACCTTTCTTCTATTTGACCTTGTACTCTGCCTCGTCCACAGCTCCCAAGAGACTTGGCTTGACTTGCTGAGGGAATGAAGAAATGGGAAACATACAGACACACGGACAAACAGAAAGCTGGTGTCTTACTTACTTTTCTGTTGCTGTGAGGAGATACCGTGACCAAGGCAACTTACAAAAGAAAGCATTTAATTGGTGCCTGCTTACAGTTTCAGTGGGTGAGTCCACTCCCATCGTGGCAGGGAACACGGTGGCAGGCAGGCAGGCACTGGGACAGTGGGTAAGAACTTGTATCCTGATCTGCAAGCAGGAGGCAAAGAGAGCCAGCTGGAATGGAGTGAGCTTTTGAAACCTCAGAGCCCACCCCCAGTGACAAACCCCCTTCAACAAGGCCATACCTTCTAATTATCAAATATATAAGCCCACAGGGACCAATCTCATTCAGAGCATCTCAGCTGAGATCAGGTGATCCAGGCTCTTGGATAGAGAAACTGCAGTATATCTGGAGCTCAGAGTATTATATATAGTAGAACAGATGGGCAGGGCTACTATATACAGATAAACAGGCAGGGTTTATACCATACTGCTGGATCAAGGAGACGGTTTAACAATCTCATTAGGCACAGTCTCTGTAGGGGATCAGTCTTCAGGCCATGAGTATAATAAACCATTCTTGCTGTGATGGGCATTTTGGGGGCACACTCTCAACATCCACACTCAGACCAGACAGGAAGACTTCAAAGTCCCTCTGAGCTCTACCAGGGGAAGAAAGGCTTAGCCATTCTCATGGGGTTGAAGCATTGGAGTCCTTGATATGGCTATGCCTATGTCAACAACATAATTTCACTCAGGACTTCCTCCACTT